TCTACAACAGTGGCACCATATAGCATTTGTCCCTTTGTGACTGAGATACCTCACTCAGCATAATGTCCTCCAGGGTCACCCATTTTGAATAATATTGCACGAGTTCCTTGTTTTTCAATGCAGCATAGTATTCCATTGTGCGAATATACCACAGCTTCAGATAATAATTTTAACATATTCAGTAACTTAAAATATGCTACACCTCTAAAAACTTTGCTTATTTGGATGGGTGAAAGGAAAAACACAGACTGAATGGATAATAATTGGTTTTGTGGAATAGAATGTGCATGCATGATTCATTAGGGAGAAAACAATGTACTTTGCAAACTCTCAAATCACAATAAAAACAAAACTAGATTGCTTTAATTGCAGCAAATGTATAGTATCTTAATAGATAATTAGCAGTGTTTCTACCTAAAATGCCTCACAAAGAGTCCTTTAAGTGTTAATTTTTAAAGAAAATAATATTATTCTTAAATCCAACATCCTGAATAACTGTCTTTTAAAACTTTCTTTAGTGCCACCTAGAATTCGTAGTACAGAAGTACACTACACAGTCAATGAGAATTCACAAGCCATTTTGCCATGCATGGCTGATGGAATCCCCACACCAACCATTAACTGGAAAAAAGATAACGTTCTTTCAGCTGACTTGTTAGGAAAATATACTGCTCCATATGGAGAACTCATTCTGGAAAATGTTGTGGTAAGTTTACTAAGCAGTAAGTTAAATTTTTAATTCATCAAGCTTAGAAATATATGGTTTAAGTAATGCATGAATAATTATACATTTATGTCACAAAACAATTTTACACATATTTAATTTTCAGTCCCAGGTCTGATAATTATTGTTGTTGTTGTTGTTGTTGTTAAGTGCCATCGAGTTGCAGGCGACTCATAACGACCCTATGAAGGAGAGTCCTCGAAGCCTGGTTGCCTTTCATCCTCTCTCCAGGTTCATAGGGTTTCCGGAGGCAAACTATTATGGAAGTGGATGCCACTCCTCCTTCCCAGCTTGTTTTAATCGTGGAGCTCCACCCCACACTCTCCTCGCATTGGGTAGCCAACCATTAATGCATTTGACACATCACAGTAGGTGACAGTGTCACAAGTAGGTCTGATAATACTATTTAACAGATGATGCAATTCATAGACAGCACCCACTAAAAATAATTCTTTTTATTTGGGAAAATATTTTGGAGGAAGTTTGGAAAAAGAATTTCTTCTGGGTATTTGTGCTAATGACCATGAACAGTAAAGAAGTGTAGAGATGTAACTATATCTGATATATTATTAAATACAAAAACCAGTTTTTTTTATCTTTTCAAATAGGATTTTCCATCAAGTATAAGAATCACCTTTATTTTATGCACAACTAAAAAAGAAAGCTTTACCACTAATTATAATATAACTGAACCTCTATCTTTAAATCATGTCAAAAATATTAAAAAATAATATATTTTAGAAGAGATAAAGTAAAAAATAATTTTTATTTGTCTTATCTATGTATTGTACATCACCTCAGGTTAAGAAATTATGAAATTGGCCCCTAAGTCAATTGTTAGACATTAAGACATGAAAACTAAAAGCTTATTGTTGTAGTGAGAGTATTAGTTAAGACATTAAAAGAGGGCTACGGGAGATTGTAGCTACAAACTGAGAGTTATAAATGTTAAGTAGAAGTATTTGTGAATCATGCATATAATCATTAGTTTAAAATTCCTTTTATCCACTAAAAAAGCCTTGATTTTAAGCTTAAACTTCCCCCCATGGAAATTTATAAGAGGAGTAGTGAAAGACAGTTCTACAAGTCATCAGATGTATTCGTGTGTAGCCTTTATATAGCAAATTACAATATGAAATTACATTTCTATTGAATTTGTAAGGAATTATTTTAAATCTTTATACTACATTTGCATTGAATTTTTGGGGGATTGAATGGAAAAATGCTTTTCTTTAAACCTTTAAGAAGACAAGGAAAAAAGAATGAAAGGAAAAGTACATAATCTATGCCCAATGCAACCACAGGCATTCAATCATTAATTCGGTGACTATTTCTCCAGCCCTTTCTCTGGTTTAGTTCTGGCTTAGCCACTGAATGTACAATCAAACTACACAGACAAAGCTACAGCCATGAGTCTAATCTTACACTTCTGGATCATGGAAGGTAGAATAGCACTGCTCCTGAAGGATCTAACTAAGAAAACTCACTGCTGTTAAGTTAGAATTAACTCATAACTGACCCTCCATTGGGTTTCTGAGGATGTAAATTGCACAGGAGGAGAATGCCTGTCTTTGTCCTGCAGAGCTGCTGGTGGATTAGAACCACCAGAGAGAGGAAGCCTGTGAGTTAGCAACACAATTCCTGAAGACTACATCACCAAAGCTCTTTTGGGTTTTCAAAGCTGGCAGTCTTTACAGAAGCAGACTATCTCACCTTTCTCCCACAGAGTGGCCAGTAGAATCCAATGAGTGAACGTTTTGTTAGCAGTCAAGTGCTTTAACTCCTGTGCCACCAGATATTCTTGGGAGTACAACAGGAAACACATTATAATCAAATATTTATGACCTTATGCAGTTTCTTTCTAGAGGGTAAAAGATAGGAAATACAAGATAAATAGTTTATATGATAAGTCAGAAGGAAGTGAAATAAATATATAAAAGAAGGATCAGTGGTTGAAAATAGTGGTAGTGATAATTTTAGAAAGGGTAATTAGTGTAAGTCCCCATTGAGGAGGTAACATTTGAACAGAACATGAAGGAAGTGTGTTAGGCAAGCAAATGTCATAGTAGATGTTTAGTAGAGGAAGAAACCATAGGACAAAGAACTTACATGTCAAAATTCATACCTGGTGTATCTGAGAAACCAGAACCAGTGAAAGCAAAGAATAAAGAAATGAAGTCAGAAAGGAATAGAGACCAGATCATGCAAGGTCTTTTTGGCTTTTACTGTGAATCAGAACCCAAATTTTTAACAGAAGGCAATAATCTCTGTTTTAGTAGTCTGTCTTTAACTATGGTGATGACCATAGAGTTGAAGGAGGTACAAAGGTTGCAGATAGATTTGTTAGAAACTAAGGCAGTATTAAGTTGAGGGATAATAAGATGCAAAGTAGAAGGTTATCAGAGAAAAGTAGCAGGGTTCTGCTCATCTTTAAAGCTCAGAGTTCCTGGTAGAATGCAAGTAGTATATGAGGAAGATAAAGTAATGGCTATCTCACTGAAATGTCTGAGACTGAAGGCATCAAGAATTGGCAGTATAAAATTGTTATCAGCTAATATAGACTATGGATATAGAGGCTATATATTGTGGAACAGGAATGTTCCTGTTCCTTGTGGAACAGGAATGAAGAAAGAAGAATAAAAATAAGTTCCCTTTGTTCAGGCATTTACAAGTTCTATTGGGCATTCAAAGCCGCTGAGTGGAATAAATAGTTTGTACTCAACTGCCAACCTAAAGTAATACGCTTGAATTTTTGCTGTTAATAGCTGGAATTAAAACATATCACTGGCACCACTTAAGAAATGTTTGATGATGTGCTTCCATAAAGATTACAGGCAAGAAAATGGAGACAGTGGAGCACTCCTACTGTGTAATGCACAGGGTTGCCATGATTCAGAATCAACTCTGGCTCCAGATTTTATGCAGTCAACTAGAGTGTTTGAATGAGAGAGTCATTATAAGTGAAGTTTGAAAGGAAGATCTGAGATCGAAATACTAGTGTTTGTCAGCTTGTAGATAACATTTAAAGTCATAAAACAGGGTGAGATCACCAAGTAATTGAGTCTAGATAGAGAAGAGATTCAAAGACTTAGCCCTGTCAAACGCTGACATGAAGTCAGTAAGGTTGAGGAGAAGCCAGCAAAGTATAGAAGAGATAACAGATGAGGTAAGATTGTGATCTCTTGGAAGTCAAGTGAAGAAGAAAATCAAAGAGAAGAGAGTAATAATTATGTCAATTCTTGCCCATCCATCTAATAAGATGATTTCTGGGAACAACTGCCCATGGCAGAGAACACTGCCTTTGCTCATTGTCTTTCCTCGTGATGAATTTAATGGCCCGTGATAGTACATCACCTAGAGTGTCAACTTTGCTCTCAAAATGCAACCAGACATTAGGGTTGCATGTTCTTTGTTTTGACATTTAGTCTGATAGCACTATAAATTCATTTATACTGGTTCAATTCCTATATATTTTATGTTAGGTACAAGCTAACCTTGTGGCTCAAACTAAAGATGGAGATTTAAATTGTCTTTGAATAAGCGTACGTCTCTAGGAACCAGGCTATGCAATTTTACATATTTTCTGTAACATAAGTTGATGTAATTTTAAGTGCTATAATTTTTTATTTAAGCCGGAGGATTCTGGCACCTATACCTGTGTTGCTAACAATGCTGCAGGTGAAGACACACATACTGTCAGCCTGACGGTACATGTTCTCCCCACCTTCACTGAACTTCCTGGAGATGTGTCATTAAATAAAGGAGAACAGCTACGCTTAAGCTGCAAAGCAACGGGTGCTCCATTGCCCAAGTTAACATGGACTTTCAATAACAACATTATTCCAGGTTGGTGATTTAATTCTTAAGAAGCAACTACATCAACCCATTAGGACTCTAAACTAAGCTCCATTTCCTCTAGCTACGGGAATTGACTGAAACATTACCATGAAAAATTGATTGCTTTAAATTATTCAGAATGTGTCCCTATGCTTAAATATTACTGTAGATCCAATACACATGTTTTGTTCATTCTTTTGTAAGGATAAGTTGATCAAAGGACCATATATTGTGGTAAAAAAGAGTTTTGAGTTTTAATTTTTTGGTGTGGGGTTTCTTTGTGTGTTTTGTTTTTTATTGATAACAACGTACTCCATTTAAGACTATATTGCATGTACAGGAAACTAAACTTATCCTACCTAACCCTGTTTTATCATTAATAAATGATAGCTATGGGTATATGTATTGGTATAGGTAACAGGGTTGTTGTTGTTGTTATGTGCCATCGAGTCGCTTGCAACTCATAGCGACCCTATGTACAACAGGGGAGCTATTGTTATATTACTGAAGGGCCTCCTGATTTTACAAAGGAGAATTCTGATCCCTACTAGATTAATTTCCTTGTAAATAGATCAATTTATGCAGAAATTTATACATTTTTATGAGCATATGCATTATATTAAGGTAGAGCCTGGGATGTAGTACCACTCATTCCTGTGAAGGTGGATTTCTGTTTATTTATTAGACTATGTCATCAGCAAAACTGTGGCATCAGTAATAAAAATTGTTAACTCCCAAAATTGAGTTCTAAACTGTTTTAATATTGTTGTTTTTGATTGTCATCAAATCAAGCACAACTCACAGTGATCCTCTGAACAAAAGACCTGAACTCTGTTCTATAACTGTCATCATTTCTCTAAGTTCGTAGAGTTTCCAGAGGCATGCTGTTTAGAAAGTAGATGCCACTCCTGCTTCCAAACCGGTCTAAAACTCGGAGCTCCACCAAACCCTGTTACCATTGCTAACCATTATGGCATTTGACACACCAATGGTACAAGGTTCAGCATCACAGCAATCCCAGGTTACCTCTGTACAGAAAATTTACAGACCAGTGCTGTACCACATAGAAGAATGTTCCTCACAAATATAATAGCACTAGGTATGAGGGCCCAAATGACTCTTAAGTACTTTCACCAGATACCATTCTCTCTAATCAAGAGGCTTAAATAAAAAACCATCACAGTTAATAAATATCTTGGTATTAAAAAAAAAGTAATGTATGAGAATGATTGTATAAAACACAATGTGAGTGAAGAATAGTGTGAAACACAAGGTATATGGATTTTGTAAATAACCCAATTTTTTTAAAAAGGTAATGAGCATGAGTTTCCTTTATTATAACTATTAGGTTACCAGTGCTCCCTATTTAACATTTAGTTATATTAAATTCAAAAGGTAAATTGGATGAGGAATGTACACAGAAAACTACTTCACACACACAGAGTGGCTGGTCTAATCAGAATCTTATTGAATGTTAATTGTTTTAGGATTAACATGTATACCTTATGTTCCACATCAAATCTTATAATTGTCTTGTAAAATAAATATTTATGTCATCATCATTTTTAAATTTACTTTGAATTATTACAAATGTGATCATTTTGTCAGTATTACATAACTAGCATATGTTTTCATTATTTCCTCCCTGACCTGCCAAATTGTTTGAATTATAACTGAAAAAGGTTTCATGTTTTTTATGTAAATTGTTTTGGAGGAAAGTTTTGCGGTGAGATAAAAAGAAATGGAAAATTTCTTGCTTCCAAGTTAAAGATTTTTTTTTAATCCAAATAGTTATGAATCAGCTTTCACCAACACTTTGAGGAGAAAGATGTACTTTAGATCAAAAATGCATGTAAAAGTTGTTTGCTTTCAATCTCTTTTCCTGTTTCTTCTGCTATTTGTCATTCTCTAGCAAGTGTCTAGAGACTTAATAAATAGCTCCAAGAAGAAATCTGGACAAACCTCTTTTCAATGCCATGATGAGATCTTTTGGGTTCACTTGGTGATTAACTCATAAATCTAACCTGCAAAATAGTAAGCCGCCATGAATATTTTCCTAAGTTACTGACAGGCATGTGTGTTGTTTCCCAATTTGTTTCTCTCAGCTTTCTTTGACAGTGTCCATGGACACAGTGAACTTGTTATTGAAAGAGTGTCAAAAGAGGATTCGGGGACTTATGTTTGCACTGCAGAGAACAGCGTTGGTTTTGTGAAGGCGATTGGATTTGTTTATGTAAAAGGTAGGTTAAAGTGTTCTATTACTTATTAACAGTTTATTTGTAACGAAAGGTTTGTGTTTTGCTTTCTTATTATTTAATAATAAAACATAATTTTCAGTTTGATGACTCATCCAGTCCCATCTCACAGGTACACAGATTCGTGCATGATAAGTTGCAAACATTTCACTGACAAATAGACAAGTAGCAAGTTAAGAGATGGTACAAAGTGGAATCATCTGTTTATAATGGGGAATAGACAAAATTAGTTGACTATATGGAGAACTGGCTGTGGGGGAGGCAATAGAGAGGGAAATTGTGCAACAATGGATGAATGGAAATCCAAGTTTTCTGTAAACTTTCATTAAAATATCAATTTTTACTGCATTGAAACAGATGAGGGAAAGAATAATATGGTTATCACTAGAGTCCTCAATTAAGGTTGGATAGTGGAGAGTACTTGGGGAGGTGGGAGGGGTGCGGGGAGATTGTATATCAAAGAATTTTTCTTTTGCTTTTCAAAGAGAAGAGTGAACTGGGGCAGGGGGCTGGCTGGGCAGGGAGAAAAGTGCAACAATAAATGAATGGAAATCCAAAATCTCTGTAAATGTTCATTAGAATTATTTTTTAAAAAATAAAAAAATAAAACCAAAAATACATGTCAAATCAATAAACATAAGCTTTAAAAAATATCAATTATTTTTAAAAAGAAGTTGATGCTGGAAAAATTAATTGCATTATAAAGTTATTTTTCCTTCTTTACTAAATTATCTTTCTCAAGAGGTTAAAATCACAAAGATATTACCAGAGCTTTCTTTGTCTGATGTTGCTTTCCAGAGCCTCCAGTCTTCAAAGGTGATTACCCTTCCAATTGGATTGAGCCTCTTGGTGGCAATGCAATCCTGAATTGTGAGGTCAAAGGAGACCCTGCCCCAACCATCCAGTGGAGCAGAAAAGGGATGGAAATTGAAATAAGCCACAGAATCCGAAAACTTGGCAATGGCTCCCTGGCCATCTATGGCACCATCGTAAGTCATACAGCAAGTAGTGATGTGCATGTAACTGCCAAAGCCAGGACCCCTCTGTGCTACTCTCTTAAATTCCTGCTTCAATCATGAAATAGGAATAGACAGAAAAATTACAACACTTCAAACAATGCTTTAACTTGATCGTCTAACCATTTTAAAATTAATAGGGATAATAATATAATTTTATGACTTTCTTCTTTTGCCTTCATTATTATTCAGCATCAGGAAATACGCTCTTAAAATACTCTTTAAAACAATGGAATTAATGGATGACAACCAGAGTTACAAATAAATTATAGAATAGGTATCTTCTCTGAGTCCACAACTGTATGATTTTCTGAAAACTTTAGTAATTCAGAAAATTAGTAGTTCCTTAGTTGTCCTAGTTTTAGAACCAGCCATTTTATCTTAAAAGTTCTCAATTACAATGTATATAGATGACTTATTCTCATTTGGTGAAAGCCTTTAGATGTTTTATGGTTTCATGGACTAAAGCAAACTCTCTAATGACCTAATCCAGTCTTCCTCTTCTTGGTTTCCTTTCCACATTAAATGCCACTAGTTGTCCCTTAAGTTTTGAGATGTTTTCTTCCTTTGCTTGTTGTGACAATAATCATCTGACTGTTTATAAGCAATTTTTCTCTACACAGATGCTACGATTTCTCAAGTCCTTGGTGCTTTCTTCTATTACAAGTATTAATGTTATTATTCTTTGCTACACAATTTAAGACTCATAAATATGTATCTCCAACCCTGAATCTCTTCCAACTTCCATATCTAGCTTCTACTGGAAATTTCTACTTGGATAGTATATGGAAACCTCAAATTAAATGCCCAAATTAATATCTATTTTCACCCTTTAACCCTCCTGAATGCCTGCAACTCAATTAGCCTCTATTGATCTCCTTCTTCTATTAATGACACCAGAATTTTTTTATTCACATGATCTCTACAGAAATCTGTGATTCTAATTAATTACTAAATCTATGCTCATGTAGGACTTATTTTCTATACAACAGATATGTAAATATGTGATTTATTAGTATAAGTGTTTCTTTCATTTTGTCTTTTTTTAATTAATTTTAATAGACATTTACAGAAGTTTTGGATTTCCATTCATTCATTGCCACACTTTTCTCCCTGCCCACATCTCCCCACCAGCTCGCTCCCCCTTCTGAAAAGAAAAAGAAAAAAAAGATATTCCTTCATTAGTACACAATTCCCACATCCCTTCCCCTATACTCCCCAACCCGAGTACACTTCTCTATGCAACCTTAATTCTGGATTCCTGTGCTAACCATAATACTCAATCATATAGCACCTCTAATCTGTTCTTTCCCTAATCTGTTTCAATACAATATACATAATTTATCCAGTTTTTTCTGTCATACCCCCACCCTGATGTCAGACCCCTTCTACAACAGTGGCACCATGCAGTATTTGTCCCTTTGTGACTGAGATATTTCACTCAGCATAACTTTATCTTAATGATAGGGACCAAATTTCTTTTTTATATAATCACTGTAAGAAATATTTGTTTTCATTATTTTAATACTTTCGAAGATATCCATAAGAGTAGCAACAGTGTATTTAACCATATGATAATTTCTGATTGATGATTATAATGTTATTTTTGTTTTATTTCTACCAATTAATCTCAAAGAGGGATTATATGGTTCAAATCCACCAGATGCTCTGCTGGAGAAGGAGGGGCAATCTCCTCCTGAACCAGTAAGATCTGGTTTGATGGAATACACATACACAAAATAATAAAATTTTATAAAAAGAGGGATTATAGATTGTTTTGAAAAATGTAGGCTGAAAGTGTATTTCCTACTTCCTATATTTATATATTTATATTAAGATGTATCCTCAAAAATGAGGATTCATATTCCATATAAATTAGTGTAATGCTGGGTGGAAAAGTTCTTTTCCATGCTTCATAGCCTCGTTTTTCTAAAACTCTGCTTATTTCCATAGAATGATGATGCTGGTGACTATACATGTGTGGCCACCAATGAGGCCGGAGTGGTGGAGCGCAGCATGAGTCTGACCTTGCAAAGTAAGTCACTTAATGAAACTCAAAATTAAGTGCTTGACTAAAGAAATGTCAACTAAAAAATAAGGTTCACTTTCCTTAACTTTATAACAAGTTCAGTGACAATCATTTCCAGATCATGTATAATTTAGTTTGCTGCTGCTGAAGCAATTGTCATCAAGTGTAAAACAGATTCACTTTCACACAAGTATTTTATTTCAACTAATGTATACTATCTAAAATGGCAGTTACAGAGCCATAAAACCTTGATGGAAAAATACTCAGCTCAATATCTTCTTTTAAGATAATATTTTA